CTAGGGAGGAAAAATGTCCAGCATACCTACTGCCTAGGAAATGACCGGCTTGGTGGAACGGAAGTAGAAAGGGATCTTTCTTGGAGTCCTAGTGGACTCCAAGATGAACATGAGTTGGCAGTGTGATGAAGCCATCAGAACAGCTAATGACACTTTATTGTTCATCAGCAGATGCATGACAAACAGATCCAAGGAGGTGATACTTCCCCTCTATCGGGCACTGGTCAGACCGCAGTTGGAATACTGCATTCAATTTTGGGTGCCACACTTCAAGAGAGATGTGGATAACCTGAAGAGGGTCCAGAGAAGGGCCACTCATATGGTTAAGGGCTTGCAGGCCAAGCCCTATGAGGAGAGGCTGGGGCACCTGGTGAGGTTTTATTCACCAGGGCACCCCTGGGGGTTACAAGAAATAATGGCCACAAGCTAGCAGAGAGCAAATTTAGACTAGACGTTAGGAAGAACTTCTTCACAGTTCGAGTGGCCAAGGTCTGGAATGGGCTCCCAAGGGAGGTGGTGCTCTCCCCTACCCTGGGGGTCTTCAAGAGGAGGTTAGATAGGCATCTAGCTGGGGTCCTCTAGATCCAGCACTCTGCTCTTCCCTACCCTGGGGGTCTTCAAGGGGAGGTTGGATATGCATCTAGCTGGGGTCATCTAGAGCCAGCACTCTTTCCTGCCTATGCAGGGGGTTGGACTCGATGATCTATTAAGGTCCCTTCTGACCCTAGAATCTATGAATCTATGAACCTATGGGGGAGAAGCTCAGGGCAGTGAGGCACCAGACCCCTTCCTAGTCACCAAGCTGAGCCTTTTTGAACTCATCTTATCTGTTTATTTGCCCTTCTTTTATGTTCCTGAATTAATGGAAGCAAGGTCCATAAGGATCCGATCCTCAGCATAACCCCATGGGGTGGCCCATTTAGCAAACACTTATGACATCCTAACAAGAATGGCAATAACACCAGAGCAGAAGGGGTAGGGTGTAGGGACCCACAGAAAATGCATCACTATGGTCACCCATGGCCTGCATAGAACAACTAGATCACCTCCAGGCAAATACATGGTCATCTTTGGAACATCAAATTATGGTGGGTGAGAGGGTCAGGTGTGACATAGCCCAGGGGTAAATGGCATGCCTATGACTTTCAGGCAGCAATGCTGAGTATGCTCCTGTCACAGTGTTGCATTTGCTGGGAAGTAAGAGCAGCCAACCACTCGTGTGACTCCAGGCAAGGCAGCCCTGGAAGAGACCACAAGGCCTGAAGAGAGTTGTCAGCAGACCCAGAGTTGGAGGGGACTTCAGGATATTGTCTAGTCTCATCCCCTGCTCAAAGCAAGACCATCCCCAACTAGATCATTCCAGCAAGGGCTTTGTTGAGCCAGGCTTTAAAAATTTTGAAGGATGGAAATTCCACCACCTTTCTAGGTAACCTGTTCCAATGCTTCACCACCCTCCTGTATTATTACTGTAAGTTTGTCCCACACTTTTTGGAAATGACCACCCCACTCACTGACCTAACTAAGAACCACCAACCTACCAAAGTTCAGTGTTCACCTACTGCCCAAAAGACCTTCAAACAGGCTAAGCTGGTACTGTGTCAGAGCCCCTTACTGTACACCCTGGATTTTAATCAACCCTTAATGTTACAGACCAGTGCCTCAGGAGCCAGAATAAGAGTGGTAGTGACCCAGAAAGAGGAGCAGGAAGAGAGACCAATAGCCTATGTGAGCCATACATTGCTCCCTCATGAGCTCTGGTATTTCACCATCAAGTGAGAGTGTCTAGCCATCAAGTGGGCAGTGGAATTATTCCACTACTACTTGCTAGGGAGGCCATTCACATTAGTAACTGATGCTTCACCTAAGGTGGCTGCATTCAGCAAAAACTGAAAATGCATGGGTCACTTGGTGGGCACTAGCCCTACAACCCTGTCTGGGCAAGTTAAATGTAGTAGCTGATGTCTTATCCTGTCAACACAACAAAGAGCAGGTACCAGGTGATCAAGGGCAGCAGACGCATCCAGATCACAGCCCCAGACCCAAGGAAGGCCAGGTGGCCAAGAACAACCTGACCCCCAAGCTAAGGGGTGGGGTATGTGAAACCCCATGGCTGACTCACCTGCCTATGGCAGCACAGCTGGCCAAACCACATGTGTGCGAGCAACAGGCCAAAAATACATCAGAGGCAGGGCTAGGGGAGAGCGTCAGCTAGGGGACCAGAAGCAGGCCCAGCCATTCTCACCCCCACCAGAGCACCCAGGGAACAGCCAGACACTCTCCCCACTGTGGAGGAAGCCAAGGAGGCATTGGACACGTATCCCAAACGTGGCAGCTAGGGAACCAGCTGCATCCCTCTCAGCAGAGACTCACGGGGAAGCCATGAGTATGGTGCCCACTGGGAGCACCAGAGAGATGCTGCCAGCAGGCCCCTCAGCAGGCAGAACTAGGCCAGACCCCTCCTGGAGCACAGCAGGGGGCTGAACATGTACCCAGAGACCTCCTCCTGAGGACCGTAGCCCAGAGGGGCAGGGAACAGGTGCCCAGGGGAAACCCACAGGGGGTAACTGGGGAAGAACTCCCTGAAGCAGTACCCAAACTGCATGGGCTCATCAGGGATGCCCGCAGACCAGGGGCTTAGCAGCAGGGGAGAGAGCATGGTCCTCGTGGGGGCACACAAGTGGCCACCCCAAAATGAAGCCAGACCTGGCCTGGTCGCAGCATGGAGAGGCCATATTGCCAAGATGCCCAAGGGGCCCAATAGCAAAACAACATGATAGAAAAAGTACCTTTAAACACCCTATTGTCCTCCATTTTTTGCAGTAGCCTAATAATACTGTACAGTAGCTTACTGCACTGTTAGCATCTCATGTAAATGCATCCACTGTTTCCTAAAATTAGATGATATGTAAAACCAATATTCTGATTATTACTGGCTATTAAAAATTCTGTAGTACTCTTAATTATTTATGGATGAAGACAAGTCCAGTATACTACTCTTACTTCCCATGTATTTCTTTATCTACATTTTTTATCAATCCAAGGTGATATGGTATTCTTTGTTCATTTTATAAACTGTGGTGTGTAGTGCTGTTGTGCTTCAGTGAGCACAGCTACATGTGAAATTAGTGCAATGTAATACACTCTGGTGCAGTTCACACTGGAGTTTATTGCTCCTGGGTTCAGCATTTACATATGCACCCAGGACCACAGCGCATTGAGCCAGGGCGGCACAGGCCCAGCTGGCAGGAGGCCTGAGGGGTCAGCCTGCCAGCCCAGATCTGCTCTGCCCCAGCTCAATATGCTGTGACGGGGCTGTCTGGGGCATGAGGGTGCTACAGCGCAGGGCTAGCCACAGGCAACCCTGCACTGTAGTACCATCAGTCCCAGCCAGCCCTGGTTACTGTCTACACATGCCTTGTGGCAGAATAAAAAACTCCACTGTAGGATAATACTTGTATCGGACCGTTTTAACCTATGGTAGAGTGAATTAGTTTACTGTGGCCTAATAGCTTCACACGTGTAGACGGAGATGCTTTACTGTGGAGCTAATTTGGCAACTGCAGTAAGTATCTTGTGTAGGTACTCCCAGTCATGGGTGAAGTAGTTTTAGGTGTGATACGTAAACAAATTTTGGATCCAAAAAGCTCAAAAGATTCTGTATAAATGCAAATGCAAAATCATAATCTGTATCACTGACTTAATACCCAAATCTATCTTCATTTTCAGAAAGCTCTGGCTGGCAATCTTGGGCCTGATCCTGCAGCCCTTACTCATGTGAGTAATCCTCACATATATGAGTATTTCCATTGACTTCAATAGGACTGCTTGGGTGAGTAAGGACTATTCGTGTGACTAAGGGTTGCAGAATCGAGTCCCAGCATAGTTGGGAGTTTAAGAAATTTGTTTTTAGTCCATGAAAATGTTAGAGAAAATTTCTGTTACTCAGAAAAATAGCCATGATTAGCAGTGTATGTTCTCAAATGACAATGGTCTGATGATTTATTTTTGTCCAGTACAGTGACCTTGAGTTCTAGATACTTGATCTGAGGAATTTTATTTAAGAGATATCATCAAAATATTTCTATACAAAACAGACAATGATTGTTTTGATTTTTATCAAACCAAAGATACACAATGCCCCTGGATAACCTACTACATAGCCAACATATTTAATAAATAAATGTCCTGTTAACACAGAATGTCTTTCCTACCTGAAAAAGCCATTCTCATTGTATATTTTAAGTGTACATTTTATAGTATCCTGTACCCTTTAAATTGACTATTATTCCATCAGAAGGGTGGTATTCCTTCACCAGAATATCACCCTGTGTCTGACTGGTATTGACGGGGGAATGAAGTGATGTAATTTGGCATGAAAAGGAAAGTACTAGCTACTCAAATAGGAGGGGATTTGAGAGCTGATTAAAAGCAAAGCAACTCTGACTTTTTCACTGAGCTGGGGTATATGAATTTGTGCCCAATCATTTTTTAAACAAGCAGTATTCCCTGCACATCTTCCCAAATGTTGTAAACACATTTAAAATTCAGGCCGACAACAGTTATGAATTATGCAGAAAATACTATGTAGCCTTCTTTCCGTGACAATTTAGACTGTTAATGCTGAATTCATTCGAAAAAGTGTGTTAGTTTATAGGCATGTTTTCATAACAATCAATCTCATCTGTTGTTGCTTTATCAATGCAAACTGAGTAGCCTGTATTTGCTTTCCAAAGCATAAGAATGAAAGTAAATTGTCATAATTTAAGATATTGCTAGTAAAGCAGGTAAGGAAACTTCTCTTTTAATAATATTAGTTTTAGTCTTACAGTTCTTCATAATGTTCCAGTTTTCATTTAAAGAACATTGCTATTGCTGTTGTATCTTTTTCTCTCTGCTTAAAATGTCAGACCCAGTATAACTTACCATTTTCCTTTTCCTTTCTTTCCTTTCCCTTTTTTCCTTTCCTTTCCTTTCCTTTCCTTTCCAACTTTCTCTTTTAGGAACTTGAATTTCAGGATCTGACTGCAGTTTTACACTGTATTCACTCATTTATAGCAGCAAAGGTGGCATCAGTGGATCCAGTATTTATAGACAGCCAGAGTATTGCAAGAAAATATATGTACAGTAACTGAATTCAATCTCCATGTTGTGATTATGGAAAATAAATTATTTTCTTAAAGAAATTAGCTATTTCCTTCACAATATTGCAATTCTGTGTGATTTTATAAGGAGTCTATTGTTGTGCTTCCAATAAATATTACTGGTTTCACATTTTGTTCATGAGTTAACAAACAATTTGAACTGAGCCAGTTTGTTATCTTTAGCACTATTCTAAAACTGAAATAAAATATTTCCAATGTTATTTTGAGCTCCTCAAAATCACACTGTCATGCATGCATTACATAAAATGCAGGATCAGGGCTTTCAAATTGCTTGTCTAAAATTGGGCTCTTGAATCCACATGATGTTTAAAAAATAATGGGCACACAGACGAATCCAACAAGACTTCTCTTTAGAAGTTCTTAGGAAAGTCTGTGGGCAGGTATACTTTAATCCATTTTAAAAGGGTGGGAGGACTTGACACTCAGGAGTGTGTATCAGTCTACTCTAATTTAACTGTTACATTTGTCCACAATTGTATAAGTAACCCAAAATGCTGAAAGTTTAACCCTTAATGAAGTAGGATAAAGTTACAAACCAGACAGATATAAATGTTACGGCAGAACATATTACTCTACTCATTCATATACCACGTACCCTTGGATAAGACTGTCTTAACTGCCACAGCACAAGCTCACCATGCCTGATGCTGGCCTCAGGAGTACAGTCTACTTAATATCACTGCCACCCTGCTTGCTGCTCAGCCAAAACCTCACAGTTTAACCCTCTTGAAGTTGCTGCTGAATTGGCAGCAACTTTTGGTGAAATATTAGGCTGAACACCCAACAACTGCCACTAGTTTGGCAGTGGCTGCAAGCGAGTTATTTTTTTAGCTGTATAGCTGTAGGGGACAAGAATGTGACACTGAGAAGTGTATTCTGCCCCTGGTTCATGCAGGAGGGAGCCAACCACAGCATCCCCAGCAGCCATTCCAGCATCTCCATGCCATTGTTTCGACATAGAAATCAATTTTTTACCTTAAGAAATGCACCCAGATCAGTTTCTGCAGTTAACACATGCACCTCAATAGCTAATTTTTGTTAATGTGTTTGGTATGCAAGTAAAGACAATATATCTGTTGAATGTGATACTCACCAAACTGTTACTGTCCAATACCAAAGTTAGTTGCCTAATTCCTATGAAAGCTAGTGCAGGTTGGGCATCTATTTTGGTTTGCTGTAACTGAATATCTTCTACCAAGCCAGTAGCCACAGCCTGCAAAGCACTGAATACTAGCCTTGATCCAGAAAAGTAGTTTAGCAAATGCTTAATTGTAAGCATGTGAATGTTACCATAGCTTAAAGTTCAGCATATATTTAGGTGCTTTGCAGACGAAGCAAAGACCATTTCAAACCTTGTAGGATCAAGCCATGAATTGGATGAAGAGCCTAACTTTAGGCACTCCTTTTTAAAGTTTTGGTCATGGATTTTCCCCATCCATTGATAAATAATACTCATTGCTCATTCATGTACTCATTATGGATAACATTCATATGTCTCCAGACCTTGGTTGTAACTCTTTGATCATCTTCTTTAATAATTATTTTGTTTGGAGAGGAATGGTATCAAATATAAATAGGTGCAACTTTCCATAAAAAAAATTCTTTCACATCTGAACACTTCCTCAGTGTTTTCTGAATATCAAATTCTGACCTCATACACACACACAAATTTAGTTTCCATTAGTAGGCTGCCTCTGATTCAGGAAATAATACAGAACTGGTCAGGACATGTTCCTAATCTACATCTGTACAGAGTTTTGCTTCTGAACCCATTTGTCTGAATGCACAGTTTAGAAATGATGAGCATTTTCATCTCAGGGCCCATTCACACCAAACAACTTCTAGCATTCCATTTTGCCATGATAAAAATTGTGTATGTTCTCAGAGCACTTGCTGAATTGAATTTGGAGCATCTGACACTAAAAAAAAATAGAAAGACAAAAAGACAGAAAGAAAACTGTAAATATAATAACTATCTGTTTCAGATTGTTATCATAATGTAAATTCATTATAACAGCAGAAACAGTGTTTGCAGTTACAGTATTTGTAATTACATTGTCATTTGCAAGATGTATTAGAAAAATTAAGTCCTTATCAAGCTAGTATTTAGCATAGATTAGAAATATTTTATTAATTATTTGTAAATAAATATTTATAACCAATATGGTATTCTATTTTAACAGATATCATCCTAATTTTATATTAAATATTTTTTTAAAAAACAACAGTGTAATGTCTCTTGGACACACAGTTTTAACTGAAATGTTACATTTAATCATTTTTCCATTATTTTAACATTATACAAACCATAGCATAAAAATGGTTTGATTTATTTACAGATACTTCTCAATTATTAGCAATTTTTTTTACTAATATTGGGAACAGGAGTAAAAATTAAGGCATCCCTTGATGTTCTAGTTTGGTGTACTGCTTTAATGCAATGTTATGTAACATAACTCTATCATAACACTTGTGCAATGGAATGAAAAATCATACCCGTTACAACTATACTGGAATCACATATACAAACATCTGTATTATATATTAAAAACCACAATATGAGTATATCCAAACACTGAGAATAAAAATTTAAAAAAAAATAGACTATTTATTAAAATCTTAAAATATTTCCCTCTTAAATAATGTATCACAAATAAATCCCTCATTTCAGAATTATGTATATTAAAATAATAAAAAACATTGCAAGTAGAATGAAAAATGGTGATGACAAACTAACAGCAACAAAGGCAAGTAGGTCATTTTTCAGTTATATCCTCTTCCAAATTCTGTTCCAAATGTAAATATTCAGATCACTTTTTCACCAAGACTTTGCCCAGAAAATAAATTAGTTTCTGCTGAAATTAACTCTTAATTTTGTTTAGAACAATAAGGACGCCACTAGTCCTTGATCATTGAAGTCCTCTTTATGCCATTCTCCCTGTTTATTTTAAGTCTATAACCTGATATCTTAGAAGACAGATATCTTCAACATTTCATCGACAAATGTTCTTCATCTGTCCTGCTTCTTTCAGAATTCTTTCAGTTTCTGTAGTTATAAAAAATTGTAATAATGCATCTGTTTTAGACATCCCTCTCTCCTGCTCTGAAAAGAAACTCATGTATTCTTTTCTTTTCCTTTACATCCTTTCCTTACTATGGTAATAAAACAGTTTTTTGCATGTCAAATGGAAATTAAGAAACCACAATGCTTTGCACCAAGAGAATTTGCTATTATACATATTTGTTTAGAATTGATGTCTTCCCCTTTAAGTTGATTGTCTTGCCATTTCTAATCATTCTAATAATTCCAAATATTAGATATAATTAATATCATTTGTATGAATTATATTAATTACATCATTCTCTTCCATTATTTGGGAGGTTCCTGATCATCTTCTTACAATATGTGTAGAGGGGAATCTAAGTATATTTAGCATAATTTAAAATGTACATTCCAGCAACATATATTCTTTTTGCTACTCCCTTGGTAGTCCTACAAAGTCTCGTTGTCATTGCTGGGAACAGTTTTAATTCATCAAGAATCCTCTGAATAAGGAGGTCATAAGAAATAAAAAAAATCTAAAAAGAAAATTGGAATGGTGGGGTTTATATTTAAAGATTTTGTGAAAAATCTTAATTTCAGAGAAACCTCCCATCAGAGAATAAGTTTCCTCCCTTTTCTTTTTTCTTAACTTTTTTTTTCCATTTCAAATAGAAAAATGATGCAGGAAAACCATAATTTTGGTTGACATTCTTCAAACTGTATTTTCCCAAGACATTTTTCACAGGAGTAATGTGAAAATGTTTTCCAAACAGCTCCATGAGAAGGAAGGAATCAGAACAGCACATTCTTTTTGCATAAAGCCCTGCTACAAACAGACACAGCATTTATTGTCTACTTAATTCATTTTCATAAAGCAAAGCAGAATGTCCTTGAATTCTTTTACCAAAATGTATCCAGCTTAAAAAAAAGAGAGTGATGCATGATAGGCCATTCAAATAACAAAAAACAGCATCCAAAGACAAAAAAGAAAAATTTGATTGCAGAAAGATAATTTATTATTCATTTTTTATGAATATGATACCAGATGAAAGACGACAACTCTTTTCTTAGAAAGATGCAGCAGGTCATGCATCAGAGGAACAGACAATACAAACAACAGTGGTTTTCCTTCTTATAATACAATAGGCTATTTGAAGAATCTCTTTGAAGAAGCTTTGCTCTATGTGGTAAGATATGACAAGCAGCCATTTTAAAGACTTCCATACAGACAGCCCATGGACAGGTCCAGGATTTTGTAAAAGGAGGTGAAGGAGCAGTGACAGGTGCTGCAGGAGTGCTAGCACTCCCCGTGCCCATTTCCAGCTTCTCCCCACACCATCAATGGGACAGGCAGATCACATCACAGCTGGGGTCTTTTATTTTTAAGATTCTGAATAAGGCAGGAATTTCCACACCTTCCCTTCCTGCTCCTAGCGCTTCCTCCTTTCTGCTCCATGCTCAATGACACCTCCTCTCTCCTCCCATTCCCCACCCACCACTGCCACTGCCTCTGGCTGTCCCAGCAGCAGTAAGAGCTCCAGAGTTGCTTCTGCCCTGCTCCATGGTGGGGTGCTATATGGGAGTTGGGGACAGTTGGGGATAGTTGCAGTGGCAGCAGTGGCTATGGGTTCCCCCTCCCTGAGCCTCCTGCTAGGCCTGCAGAGAACACCTAGGGAAATTGGGCAAGGAGAAGAAATCTTCCCGCTGCCGCCACTGCTGCTGTTCACAGCTGAGCCCAGCTACCTGCACAGCCAGGTTGGAATGGGACAGGAGCAACTCTGGAGTTCCCCCCATACTTGAGGCAGCCAGAGACAAGGGGAACAGGAGCAGGAATAGGCAAGGAAGTGGGGAATGGGAGTGGGGCAGGGAGAAAAGTGGATGCGGCAGTAAGCACAGACAGAAAAGGAGGGGTAGGAATTCATTCCTG